AATAAGTATTGTGACTTATAAATTTCGGGATCTATGATCGATGAACAAATTGTGACTTTTAAATTTTTAAATTGTGACCAATAAACAAATTGTGACCTAGGAAAATTTTGAATTGTGACTTAAAAAATTTTGAATTGTGACCAAATTTTATAAATCTATGACCTTAACATATTCGTCAGAATCGGATTAGTCGTCAAAAAAGTCGCTGAAATGGTCGTCGGAGAAGAGTTTCCGGTCACCGGAATAGCCACGGAGTTGTAGGAGTGGTGGAGGTGGGTGTGAGTTAATTATTTTATAGTTGAATTAAATATTAATAATAAATTAATTTAATAATTATTATTTCATAATTAAAATTTTAAAGAAATCTGATTTTTGAAATTTAGAGCATGTTTTGGTATTTTTGAAATGTGTAAAAGTAAACACCTTATTTATGTATTCTTCCCTTTTTTTATTATTATTTCTTTTTAATCCAGTCTTGGATTTTCCCGTACTTCCGTCCCTCCCTCTATTAAATATTTTAAAGTAGATGCTCTAGACAGCGTGCCTTTAAACAAAGTTTTATTTCATTAATCTATATTTACATTCAGAATGAAGATTTATCTACTGGCTTTTGTATATAGAATTCTTCACGTGCGCTAAGGTGGCCAAGTCGCCAAAAGTGAATACAAAGAAAGGCACTATTGAGGCTGCTCTTGCAATTTTTTTATTATGCGAACAAACAATAATAGATAACTTTTGAATTTCGGGGATCTATTTTAAAAGTTAAAACTTGTGAAGAAGAGCAGTCCAAGCTCTAATATGTTATTTTACATTTAGCATGTCACTGCAAGATAGTAACTTATTTTAGAATGCAAATCTTGAAATCTAATTACTAAGTTGAAATTTAAATGGGTTGAATTGTTATTTTGAATTTGTCTGCTATAGTACCCTATTAAGTCTCAGGTTTCATCTTAAAATGTCAATTTCATTGAAAGTATTGCTCAAGCCCTTATACATCGTTACCTTTTATAATGGAAATCTAAAAGTCAATACCTCGTTTATCCTTAACAATAATGACACGGTCTAAAGAATTCAATTCCGAGGTCTCTAGTTTGTACACACCTCCTGTTTCACCTATCCCACTTGGATTTAATAGCCATTAGTGGCATCAAAAAGGTTGAACTGAATCATTCACAGAGGCTGCTGTTGCTCTGCTATAAATATGGCCTTTTCCTTTAAGGTTTTTCATTCCTCATCCACTCTATTTAAGAATTGGAATTGTCTGAAATTATGGCTTGTTATAGCCTCTTTTTCTCTTTGATATTGCTATTGGCCGCAGTTTGTTATGGCCAAGATGATTTTGTCTGCTCAAGAGCAACCTATTACGGCAGCCCCGACTGCCTAGGAACTGCGAGTATGTCATATGATGCCTCTATTGCACGTTTAGTTCTCAATGCTACTTGACTATATCATTAACAAGTCTTACCTGTTTTTTTTCCTCAATACTGTCAAGTTCTATTTGACTCCCTTATCCAAATATTCTACTAATGCATTAGATAGTAAATATAGTAGATTATATTCCTTTTGTGTGAATATATCTAATTCAAATTGGTTTCTCATAATTTTACTAGCCGGAGCTTGTGGTTTTGGTGAATATGGAAGGACTTTCTACAATGGTCAAGTCACTGGAGTGTCCAGGCTTTACAGGCATGGAATTGGTTGCGGCGCTTGTTATCAAGTAAGGCATTTTATTATTTACAAAAAATCCTCGTGCATGCTTTGTAATATCAATAGGTGGTGAAGTGATGAGGAGCTAAGTGTCGCAAAATCATCCCTTTTAAAATTTCATGGAGAATTTACTTTTTACCATCCAATCCACCCCCTTTGCAGACTTAGGGACCATTTGACACGACTTTTGAGATTCAAAAGTTACTTTTAGATCTATTTGAGAAAAAGTTGGCCCAATGTAACTTTATTTAAAAGTACTTCCAGAATTAGAAGTGCTTTTAAAAGTTTGTTTTCAAACAAAAATTAAAATAACTTCCTCCAAAAACTCTTTTACGGGAAGCAAAAACAAAAATAAAAGTACAAGTCATGCGAAACGACTCTTTATTGAAGTCGTGCCTAGTGATTATATTGTTATGCTTCTAATTGCCAAATTTTTGCCAATTATTTAACTTATACGCAAAAAGCTATTTAAGCCCATGTTGATGATTATTATAAAGAGAAATTTGGAGAAAATGATGTTTTGAATAATGATTTTTTGTAGAATATGTTGTTAAAGTAGGAAAAAAATTTGTGTTTACATGATGAAAATTTATTGTGTAAATGTGTAATTGAAAATGAGTATGAAAAATAAAGAATATTGAAAGAGAGCCAAACACGAGCTAAAAGAACACAAACTCTCCAATATATTAACAATGGAGAAGAAAAAGGCATAAATTACCTTTTTTATTTTCAGTTTATGTTTATTTACTCCCATAAGTTTGATGGCTAGTTTTCAATGGTGATCAGGTAAGGTGCAATATCCCAACACACTGCAGCGAGGAGGGAACGAAGGTAGTGGTAACGGATTACGGTGAGGGAGACAGAACAGACTTCATATTGAGTACACGTGGCTACGCAAAATTGGCTCGACCCGACATGGAAGCAGAACTATTTGCATACGGCGTAGTTGACATCGAATATAAAAGAATTCCATGTCGTCACGGTCGTAATCTTTTGCTGAAAGTCCATGAGAATAGCAAGTACCCTCTGTACTTGGCCATAGTACCATTGTACAAAGGGGGAATTTATGATATCGTTGCGCTTGAAGTTTGGCAGGTATTAGTCTTATCAAAACAATTGTTTTTGGGAATTTACAAAAATGTCTCATTTCACACTTGTCAGTTAAAAAATGTCTAATTTTAATATCTCTTACAAAAATGACCAAGTTTAGTACTAAATTATCTATTATATCTTTAAACTTTTTATTTAGTTAAAAAAAAAATTTTCAATTTGTCATAAATTTCGAGAAAAAGAAATAGCTTCCATAAGAAGTTACATTACAATGACATTTTAAAAGTTGTTATTAATATTTAAACTCAATATCTTTATACTTCATTTATCTAGAATGAGATTTCATTCCGAACATGAGAGTTCTTTACGTTTTATAAAGTTCTTGATATTTGAAATGAAGTTCTCGAAATTTAATACCTATCTCAATGAGATATATAACATTTATTGTGATTTGGCATATGTACTTTTGAAATAAGTAGAGTATGTTATGTGTCAAAATCTTATTCGCCAACAATTTTTTTAATAGTGTGCACATTTTTGTTTTTAGTTTGGAATTATAAATTGTTAATAAGGGTATTTTGAAAAATAAATCAATTTTTTTTTTGTTTTCAATTTTTCATAAATTTCGAGAAAAAGAAATAGCTTCCATACATTACAATGACATTTTTGACATTTTAAAAGTTGTTATCAATATTTAAACTCAATATCTTGATACTTCATTCATCTAGAATGAGATTTCATTCCGAACATGAGAGTTCTTTACATTTTATAAAGTTCTTGACATTTGAAATGCAGTTCTCGAAATTTAATACCTATCTCAATGAGATATATAACATTTATTGTGATTTGGCATGTGTTCTTTTCAAATAAGTAGAGTATGTTATGTGTCAAAATCTTATTCGCCAACAATTTTTTTAATAGTGTGCACATTTTTGTTTTTAGTTTGGAATTATAAATTGTTAATAAGGGTATTTTGGNTTTTAATAAAGTGGACATTTTTGTATTTATGTTGAATTATAAATTGTTAATAAGGGTATTTTGGCCTAAAATATTGTAAAATAGACATTGAACAAATTTTGGACATTTTTACAAATGACCATGTGAAAGTGAACATTTCTTTTAATTTCCTCGATTGTTTCTATTAACAAAAGATTTACTTGCTAAAAAGGTAACTTTTAAGCTCAGCCAAACATGCAACTATGTGCAATTCCATTATGATCGCGGTCATTGACAATGTTGTACCTTTTTTGTTAATTTTACAAAGGAGGATTACAAGGAATGGAGGCCAATGCGCAGGGCATATGGAACAGTATTCGACATTTCGAACCCACCAAGGGAGCGTCTTAGCTTCAGAATGCAGATGGCGATGGAGGCCAACGAAGAAGCGAAGTGGGTGCAGTTAGCCAGTGCCATTCCTAGTGATTGGAAGGCTGGAATTGAATATGACACTGCCTTTCAGCTTAACTAATTAAGCTCCAAATTACCTACCAATACACAACATCTATAATATCTATGTATCTATAGGCTCGACTACTTGGTATGTAGTGTTTATTTTAGAAGTTTCGAGCAGTGTCCCAATAATGTTTAGTGAAGTACTATGTGCACTTTATTTGTAACATAAAAATAAAAAAGGACTCGTGTTTAGTAGTATTCTGGACGGACGACCAATCCATGGCCTCTCTTATCCCAAATGTTAAAGATACAAACTATGTAACAAACACGAGAAAAAAAAAGGGTTAATTCGAGGAAACTTAGGCATCCCAAGATATTGTTGATATTTCTTGGAACCAATTAACTCCTAAGACAACTCAAAAGTAGTAGAATAATTCGTTTTACACCTCTCACTTCTTGATTGAATATAATTACAAGATAATCTAGTCCCTTGTTTTGTAGATATTAAAATCAAATTTTTAATAAATTTTGATAAAAGTTAATAAAATGCGTGATTAAAAAGTTATGTGTTCCATGAAATATATGATTAAAATTAATTGTTTGAATTGATTTAGATTAAAACCTAAATTTTAATTCCCACCAAAATAGACTTTGTTTTCTTTTGGCATCACTTCTATCGAAATATTTATTTATTATAATTTAATTTTCGTGTCATCGCCTCAAATCCATTGTATATTTTCGTTTTAATTTTATTATTATTATCCTAAATAGTAAATAGTAGTATGATGATTACTTCATGTATATCTCAAAGAAAAAACTATGAATCCCTTTAGCCGCATTAAAATGAGAAGGAATAAACACGATAAGATGAATGTATGAAATTGATCTCCCTTCTTGGAGAAAACCAAAAGTAAGTTCTCTTACCACGTAGGACTAACGGGTAATTAAGCGGAAGAAATTTAAAAGGGGTTAAATTTACAGATGGTCATCCAATTTTATACTTAGTGTTTCCATAGTCAGTCAATTTGATTTTGTTTCACTAAAACCACCAAACTTTATATTTAGTGAGTGTTTGGCACCCATTCTTTTGAAGAATGAGTTTTTGAATAGTGATTGATGTAAATAATGTCTGGTTAAAAAGTAAGAAGAATTTTTCGGTTTATGTGTAATATTATTTTATTTGGAGAATGTGTGATTAGAAATGAGTACTGTAGAAAAATGAGAATGAGAATAAGATAAAAAATGAGTGTCATACGGGGGCTTAGTCATATAATCACCAATTTGGTTTTATTTTATTATGACTACTCAACATATAACGTTTCATCAAAACCATTTAATTTCATATAACATTTTACTATGACCAACCAATTTATTTTCACTATTTTCACTAATTTTAAAATAGATAAAACGGTAACTTTATAT